CTTAAACGCTTAAATTTGTATTATTACGTAATCTGAATTTTCTAGAAGGCCTCCACACGCCAATATAAATATAACCAACGCGATGCGCCAAAAAAAGAGTATCTATTATTAGTTTCCTATATTCAATGTGCTATAAACTTTGGAAGCTATAACTGTGATTGTTATAACGCTTATCAATCGGAAAAATTCAGATATTGGACCAGGAGCATTTACAATGTTCGAACATTACAACTCATTTAACTTCAGTGGATTCTCATCGGACATTAGTATTTTTACGAAAATCCGATGCGTGTGGCTGATAAATAATGAAGGACAAAGCTAGCTAGCTTCCCGTAAGTGAATTATACCTACGTCATCTCGTAATCGACTCGCTCATCGTAAAACCCTCGATAAGATATCGAAGAAGTTCCAGACTAAAAGGAAAACTTTATATTGCTTGTAAGTTTGCGAAACTTTTGTTTATAAATCATTGTTTGTAATAACTATTTGTAATAACTGTTATTGTAAATTGTATTGTTGTGTGTATATTAAAACGTATTTATAAAAAAGAAAACTGTGTGTATCAATCTTGTTGGCAAAATATCATAAACTGACTATATATCGGCTTTTACTAAACTACTAAATTTAAAGTATCATTTAGCTCAGTTTCAGACCATTCAAAATTATAATAAGTAACAGTGACATATAACTAGGTTTTAGTGACATGTAACAACACCTTATGGTTTACGTGTAACAATACTTTATGGCGACATATAACACTTTATGGTTTATATGTAACAATACTTTATGGCGACATATAACACTTTATGGTTTACATGTAACAATACTTTATGGTGTACATATAGCATATACATCATTTTCGCATGAAATTGACAAATTCATACAAACTTTCTCACAAATGTATGTCCCTATACTGGTTCACCAGAAAATACAAAGTCTATTACTGTGTAGGCATGTTTATTTCTTACTGAATACAGTTATTATAAATCTCTAAGCGTACAAATGTCTTGTAACAGTTCGTGCAAAATTTCAAAAATTCAACGTACACAAATCCTGAATTTCACCGAACTGTGCAAACACTTATACACACTTGTATCTACACGTGACATCTACTCTCAAATTACACCTTCCTCCAAGTGTTTGGCAGCAAGGAACACCAACTAAAGGAATGCAAAAAATATGTGCAAAGATTTACACGGTTTTTTGCCGTGTAGTCTTAGTTTAGAAAAACTTATTTCAACACTGTATTGCTCATTGTCGTTTAAACTTTCTAGTCATTTATATTTGTTTATCGTTATTAAGGTACAGAAAATTATGAGGTTTGCTCGAATGCAGATCATATTTGCTTCATATAGTTAAGCTAACTATAATAAATATTGTTCATTACAAATAACTATTTTAATAATTAATAGTGAATACAGAAATCATACTTGCTTCATATAGTTAAGCTAACTATAATAAATATTGTTCATTATAAATAAGTATTTTAATAATTAATAGTGAATACAGAAAACTTTAAGTACACGATAAAGATATTTAACTACAATATATTTTGAATATTCGTAACATTTTACTTAAAAGGTTAAATATTAATAATCATTTATTTCATACTAATGTATGCACTATAGCCAGATTTACAGTTTCATTAGCGTTAGTTATCCATTTCTCCAATGCTGATTTAATGTATATTTTTAAACAAGAATAACGATCTCATTTTTCTTTCGAAATTATAAAGTTAAGGTTTTGACATTTTAGGAATTTGTAAGATCACAATCTCTTCAGCTCATGTTTGAGAAATTGATTTTATTTTCAGTCATTTCTATACATCTTTATTTATTCAAATCTAATTTTGTATTATCATACTTTAATAATGATAACATACACCTCATAATATTGTTGTAATAACTGTATTATAAGTGTTAAATTTGTTAAATACATAGACCCCCCCTTCCACCCACCAGAAGCAGATTATATTATACTGTAGGATGAATCAAACCAGACATTCTTCGTTTCATTAAGATATACAACGTTTTCTTAAATAATAAAATCTTACTGGAAATTGTTCAAATTTTATGTTCCTTTTATGTGCTCTTTACAATAAAATCAAAAATTTGTCATCACTCCAATATATTTAACATATTAATATTAATCCTGTTTTTTGAAAAATAGATTTAAGTTTGTATTATTGTTACTAATTAAATCTTAATATCTAATTATAATATACTGAACTCTGGTATATGTATATCGAAACCAGAAAACTATAATGCCATTTAACTTAAGAAAGCAAACTAGTCACATAGGTTTAGAGGTTTAAGCCCTGTAATCTTGAGCTACTTGTTTCAACAGGGTAACAGTCATTTAAGCATTCTAGCTATTTATATTTGCTAATGTACAGAGGCGGCATAAGCACCAAAAATTTGAGGGGGGTGCAAAACAAGACATCTTATACCTACGTGTAAGATGTGTAATTTTAAAGGGTCTCGTTATTCTCCAAAAAGTTTAACGTGCTAAGTTACAATTGAGCTAACGTTGGGTTTCAAAAAGTACCTTGTATTGAGTTTTAAAGCCCCAAAGTACTCACAAACCTTGGAAAAGATCAGAAAGTTTTTGATCATTCCAGCATATCTACCAATGCTTCTTTTTTTTTGGGGGGGGGGGGGTAACAAGTCCCTTTAAAAGTGGATTGATGATGTTTTTTCAAACACTATTCAGTTAAATAAATAATAATTTAGTGCAGTAGTTCCATTAGTACTAGTAGAATGGTTAAAGGAAATACTTCTTACTCTGAGATATATCCGGTTGATTTCTACCATACAAGAAGAAGAAAATAAAACATCTCGTAAAACGGTAGTGCGCGTACAAACGTTTTTTCTTGTTATACACATTACATTTGCTCTATGTATATAGGGTTATTCTATTTTTGTGGCATTTGCCCCCCCTCTCTTCCCTCCTGTAGCGCCACCACTGTTCCTATATATGTATTAGTATTAGATGCATGAAATCAAAATTCGTTATAAAGCTCTTAGCTAGGAAAACAATAAAAGAGCAGAATTTCACAACAAATTTTACAAGACAAATGATAACACTTATCTTTACCTTTCTGTGTACTTATCCTTCCTTTATTTGACTATACAATGATCTGGACAAATTACCTCGGCTTTCCTAACATAAGTTTGAGTAGTTAAAACTTGACATCATATGATATAAAATATTTTTTATTTCAACACACAGAAAAACAAACAAACTTGTATTTATTTTACAATGTGTTTGAAGATACAACCATATATATATATTTTTTTCAAAGTAAATTTTACCTAGTCATTCGTTCTGATCACTGAAAAAAAAGTTATAGTCTCTTACTAGAAAACAATCTCTTTGAGACTAACAGTGCTACCCGAGAATATCTTGTATACCTAAAGCTGATGAAACTCTTAACAATCTTAAGTGTATTCATCATTATAATTATTATTCAGGTGCTCCCCAGTGACACAGCGGTATGTCTGCGGACTCACATCGCTAGAAATCGGGTTTCGATACTCATAGTGGGCAGAGCATAGATAGCCCTCGTGTAGCTTTGTGCATAATTAAAAAACAAACAAACAAACAATTATTCAGGCTGGGCGTAGCCAAGTGGATAGCGTGCCGGACAGTGAATCGAAGTGACCGAAAATTATTATCAAATTAACAATATAACATATATTAAAAACTTTGCTAACAAAATTACTATGTTAAACTTATATTAAAGTTTTTCTTCATTACCCATTCAAGCCGTCTCCAGCAATTATTAGTCCCTGGTTCACGTTCCGTTGTCGCAAAATCTCGTTTTGTACTTTGGGAGTATGGGTGCATTATAAGAGTGACAGTAAACACCCACTATTCGATCGGAGTAGACTATGAGTTTTCAGTGGGTGCTGCCTTCCCTCTAGTTTAACATGTCAAAACTAGGGACGATTAATGTTTGTTTGACAATGACCTTATATTGTATTGTCAACAGGGCCTCGATCGGAAGAAATCAATATGGAAGTTAAAATTTTCGTTTTTCATGTCGTGTCTTGTTCTCAATATAATCTAAACAAAGAACCATTACCTCTAATATTAAAATACTATCCACCGCATTTCCAGGAACTCAGCAATGTCACAAAATAGATAAATTTCAGTTTATTTGAACAAGTTTTGGAATGTGATAACTAGCGCAATCATATCAATTCACAATCAAGTAGTGCAAAAAACAATAAAACTCGTTCGAATACATTTTGGATTGGCCATTTGAAACCATATGTTACTGTAGCGATATCATCCGTTGTTCCAAACTCATGTTATTAAAAATGTAAATTTTACATAGATGAGAAAAACGACCGACAATTATTATCCAATTAACACTATAACGTATATTAAAAACTTTGCTAACAAAATTACTATATTTGACACAAAAAGATTACAATTACATTTTATCCCTGTCTATGTTTTGACCTATCTGGCTTTCAACATTTTAGTTATATAAGAAAGAGAAGCGTCTTACCTGACCAGCTGTGTCACATAGTTGCAATCTGATTGGTTGGTTGTCGACTGTCACTACCACTAGAAAATTGATTTTTTAGCAATAAAACAGTGGAATTTCACTACAAATTATACATTTTTATATTACTATCTACAAATAAAAAAGCACAAAATGTTACATTAAGTCATGTAAGATCTTTATTTTTTTATAAACTCAAAATTCCTTTCATTAAACATTCTTGTCTGTGATAAAATTCAATTTGCTTGTCACAAAAGAATCTAATAGACTCTAACATGCTACCCTCAAAACCAACGGTACAAAATATTTCGGCTAAGCTACATGCCAGCCATTTAAAAACACAGGCTAAACTTGCTCGTGTTATTTCATGAGCTTCCATCTATTTCCTGCAGCTGTTACTATGTAACTACAAGGACTTCAGTTCAGACCAAATGTAAACACTATGACTTCAGTTTTGCGGTGTGCAACATCACTGGTTATTCAAAAATATGTTTAAAAAATTTTGGTTCCAAGTAATTTATTTTAATTAATACAACAAAATATAATGTTAGGCAGCACATGTACTAATTAGTGGGCAAAGGTACGACTTTAAAAACGAGTTAAAACAAAATAAGAGTTTCCTATATATGAATAACACCAGTAACACTGATTACGGCAGAAACTCAGTCTTATAATGTAACTGAATGTAATTTGTCTTCCTTCCCCACTCTTACAAAGCGTCTAACACAAGGTTTCCCACTGCACCACCCTAACTTAAGTTTAAAAATCGGACAAGTTTAGATACAGTAAAAACCCAGTAGTAGTCGTTTTTCAGTAGAGCAAGGCTGTTGTATAGCCACCTTGTTTCACCTTACCAATCTTGACTGTAGTACTGGATAAACGAAACGGTTTAAAGCACGGTATAGTAGTGTATTTTCAACCTGAGCACCACAGTCCGAACAGAGATCCCGAAGTTCAAGAACAACCTTCCCTAATTTATAACTACTTACCAAAAGGATAGAAACCACTCAACAACACCTGCCACCTACTATTAAGTTGACAGAACAGCGTGAGTGGAGTCACAGCTGTAGCTTCAGTGGCATAAATATGGCAGGGTTGAATCTTGGACCTTTCAATTTATAGCCCATCTCACTAACCTCAACACTGAAATAACAGGATACGAATCACACACATGAGAAAAATAGAGCTAAAACGTTCTCTACATCCATCTAATTGATAACATACTCATACCACCTTACACAGAAGTCATCAAAACCTGGATACTCCTCTTGAAGAAGACCCAGGTTGAATCTCGGCTACTACCAACACAAAAAAAAAACTCCTCTTAGGACTTCCCTGAAAACGGTAACAGATTATCAGCCGAAACATAGGTTAAAAAAGGTAGTAATTAGTATCTAATTTTTAAAAAAGTTACTAATTAATAATTAGACATAGGTTATATCAAGTCGGCATAATCTCATCCTAAGTATACACTAATTATTAGGCCGACCACATCTATATAGCTTACGATTCAAAACATGAAAACATATAGGTTTTCAGAAACGCTGTGAACAGAATATAGCTGTAACAGCACAGCTTGTGGCTGACTAACAGATTTCCTGTGCTGCTGAATAAATACAAACCAAATTATATGTTTAATCCAGATGAAACTGGTCTACCTTATCTCTTATCAGCTTCTTCAGCATTTATAGGCGATGCTTGTGCAGGTGGAAATAAAAGTAAACTTAGGGTAATTATGTTGATAAATGGATCAGAAAACTTCTTTTGTTCGTTTAATAAACGGGATATCAGTAAAACCAAGAAGTTTCAGAAAAAAAAACGAAAAAATTTTTGCAGTTGCTAAAAAAAGCAGCCTAAAGGCAAAGGTAATAATTTTATAAAATTGGTACAGAAGCGTGAAAAAAATTGGTTCATGAAATTTATGAGATATTGCACGTATTGTAAACAACTGTTTCTACTCTTTTCTTGTTCAGGGACCAACTGAATTTTTATTTCTTCCATCTAACAAGTAAGACTCAGTCATGCGACTTGGATATAATAAAAACCTGAAAGTCCATTATCCTCGAAAGATTCTGATCAACAAGATTAAACCTCCAGTAGGCTGTGGGGTGGGGCTTAAAATCAGTCTTTTAAATGCTGTTTAATGGTTGGAAACAGCTTAGAATTGTGTGTTGGGCAGAGCAGTTGTTTCTGACACGGGTTTGTGAATGATTCCAGAAGTTCACCAGATGTCATTGCCGGGGGTAATGCAGAGTACATGTTTCATTCTACCAAGTGAAATTACAAGGTTAAACTATCTTTAGGTTGACAGTGAGGTTCTTACTTCAGGGACTGGGCGTGGCCTGTTGTTAGCGTGCTCGGACTGTGAATTCGAGGGTTCATTATTTGCGAATAGTTGCCCCTAAAAGGCACTCCACATTTGTAGAACTAATATTATATGCAGTGCAAACCTAACACGCGGTTTCTTTTGTGAAATACAAAAATAAACTTTTCTTTCAAAATCAAAGGTCCAAATGAGAAAGAACAACTACGAACATGTGTATTTGTTTCATACTATCCTACGTGGTTTTAATCAGAAATAGTATCTCACTTACTTTTGAACATGGTCTGATTAAAGTACTGTATGTGTATTGTTTATGAGAAAACGATTATATTAAATGACATTTGTAATTATTTCACTTGACTGATTTTATTCTTCAGTTTAAGCCTTCTTTCATTTTTACTAAATCTAAGATTAATAAATGTATAATGAAGTCGTTGTTTAATAAATTGATCTCTATTTCAAAATAATAAAATTGGAGATTGTTACCCTTTGTTTCAATACGCATATGTTTTATACACATATTCTCGAACTTTACTCTCAGGATCACAAGTACATTAGTCACACTGATAATGTTAATGTTAGTTCATTTGGCAAGGAAGCAGACCTGAACCAGCGTGATACTAGGCTCTCATACCCGCCCTAATACCCGAATTCAAACCACCAAAAGCGCCTTAAATTTAATATTACTTATATTTTAAAGTTAACTTTTTTGAATTCATTTAAACTTTTTCATTAACTTGTATCAACTGAAACTCTGAATTGCATGTTTCTGTTATCATTTACAGAATAATGAGAGAAAATCTTGAATAAAATTTAATTTTAAATGTATTTCAAATTAGTGTTTTACTTATATATATACAGTAACTTGTTTTAAGTATCTTGACAATGCTTTTAAATAAAGCGCCCTCTATACATTTGGTTATCAGTATTTCCCTATTCGCACAGCAATATTGACCTATTCAATTCAGGTAATAATAAATTACGAAATGTTATTTTCTTCAGAAGCTTATTTGGAGTTCCGTATGGAGAATTCACTAAACTTTCTTGGGTTGGGCTGATAACTCAGACTCCTACTGAGAAACGAAACTCGATTATTTGATAAACATATTTCTGTTAATCTGTACTCATACAGTATTTTAATTAAACACAGTGACGCTTCTTTCTGGGTCGGAAAATCAGGTAATGTATTTCAAATTAAGCTATATTTTCGTGTTACTTTCCCTGTGTAACTAAAACAGAAATAAGATGGGCACCGGTTCTTTTTAATAAGAATACATACACATATATACTTATATTGAAGGTTAAAATTAAACAACACTACATTTGCTAAGTTGACAATAGCTTTCCTACTTCCTCACATATTATAGTCATGTATCTAATTTCCTATATAGACGTCGGTTCCCAAAAACTAAATATCTTTTTCTGTGTTATCGATTAACACAGGATGTAGTTATTCATGTATTTTACAGACCTTAATCTTGTAAAGGATAACCTACACCAATGGAACATTATAATAATAAACAAATGGCTAATTACACACTGAAGCATAGAACACACAATTAATATATATATATACTTCAAAACAACAAAGTATTTTTAAAACAATAATTTATGTGAAAGTGAAATGATAGAAAAATAAATATATAAAATTTGTATAAGATATTAAGTTACTTCAACAAGACTTACATGATATAATTAAATAGTAGATTATGAGAAAGTATCATTTTTAAAACATACCAGAATAATTGTCAAACGCTGTGGGGACGTATTCTGTTGGATAGCCATTCGTGGTATAACTTACTATAAGGCTCGTTTTCCCTACCGCTCCGTCACCTACCAATACACACTTCATCTTATTGGTGGTGGTATTACTATTATTTTCATTTGTAGATTCCATATCAGATAAAGTAGGCCTCCCCATTTCGTTTCGTATCAAAGGAGTCATATCTACCATAAATTGTTACTTTTAAAATAAACTTTTCAGTTTCCCTCTTTACTACAGCACACATAGAAGTTCGTTGAATTCCACTAGAGCAAACAGACAATTAAATACAATCAATATAGTAAAGTAAAAACACTGCATTCTAAATAGATACGGTTAAAGTTCTAAACCTGAACTGGCAACACACGTAAAAGTAGGATTAGTTTGTTTGTTCTGGGAGATTTCGCAAACTACCAACACAACAATCGCACTTAGTAATAGTAGTTACCCACGAACACGGAACAACTCGAAATACACCTTACGCTAATGATTGCAACCTCGCCAACTGGTCTTGTGACGACTAGCAACTAGTAGCTAAACGGTTTACCTAGTTCTGATTGGCCGAGCCATATCACAGATATAAAAGAGAATGTGAGACAGCTGCAGCTACGGGTCTTTAAGCAAGTACTTTAAAACTTGTTGAGGTTTTGAAATGTAAGTATAAGTTTATGGGAAAAAATGTGTTTATGTTTGTAGATGTGTATGTATGCAGTATGTATATATATATATATATATATATACTTATTGAATTTTTTTGTAGATTATCAAAATAAGAAATGCACTGCTTTCTGACAGTGCGAATATCATTGAAACTGCAACATTAAGTATGAACTCCAAACGTCAATAAAGTAAACTTACATCTCAGAATGAAATAAATTTCAAGAGATTTTCAAGTGCTAGGTCTAACAGAATAATATTGTATCATACCTGACTGACCTGCGTATTATCATAAATTGTTAAAGTAAAATAATACATTTAAAATAATAACAATGAGAATCAGTCAGATTTTCAAGTGCTAGGTCTAACAGAATAATATTGTATCATACCTGACTGACCTGCGTATTATCATAAATTGTTAAAGTAAAATCTACACAATGAGCTATCTGTTCTGTACTTACTGCATGGATCGTACCGCGAATTTTGGTGTTATAAACCCACAAGCTTACTACTTATCCATCGGATGACTCCGCATAAGAACGCGTTTATTTGCTTCTTGTTAAAATAGAAGCTGAGAAAGTAAGAAATTCATAAAATGTGCTTATTTATTTGTAATTAAGCACAAAGCTACACAATGGGCTATCTGTGCTCTGCCAACCACGGGTACCGCAACTCGGATTCTAGTGCTGTAAGTCCGCAGACATACCCCTGTGCCACTGGAGGGCCAATGTGCTTATGACCCTGCTGTTTCTTTATTGACAAGAGAAACAGAAATATATATAACATGTGGTCTAAAGTATCATTATATGCTTATATTGTTAATAAAAATGTATGTAGACCATATTATTCAAAGCAATAACTTTATTTTTACAGATTTGAGAGAAAGATTAGTATATTTTTTATTAAAGCGCTATCGTAGCAGGATCTATTTCTAGATCTAAGACAACTCAGTATTATTTGAAGACTTTCTGCTACAACGCTAAGGGCTTTCATAGTTATCTATTATTAACCTAAACAATGTAGCTCGAATTATAAAACAGGTTTTATTGATAACTTTTGCAAACCATACCGATTACTGAATGTGTTACCTAACTATAGATATTGTTACGTATCTGCTTGTTTGTTTGTTTCCGATAGAAATTCTTTCCGAGGATCTTCAGGGATACAAGTCCTTTCTTGATTAAACCAGTCTATTCTTCCTCGATACAACCACA